GCTGGCGTACATATAAAGAGAGCCAGTGTATATATGAAAATGGAATCGCCCCCTCGAGGCAGCTGCATACGAGAAATCAATTTAAGGAACGGCTAGAGTCAGCAGGGCTCTGGATTGTACAAAGGGCAATCTCAGTGTTATGGATATGCTATTTATTTGCCTGCAAGTTTTTTTTTTGTTTTGTTTTTTTTATTCGTTGTGCCCTTTAGCACTCAATCTGTGCGAGCCCCAGCATCGAATTTGTACGTGGCGTGTAAGACAGGAGGAGAGTGTTATAACACCTGGATACGTGAAAAACAAAGAACTGCCAAGCATCTGTGCTGCAGGGGTTTTGTCAGCATGCTGGGAATGAAATGACAGAAATAAAGGAAAGGAAATGATCAGACACTTTTAGATATGACGCTGCCACACATATATATATATTTTTACTTCCGACATGTGCAACTTACTTTTTTTCTTTTTCCAAACTGAAAGACTGAAGAACTATTAAATTATTAAAGCGTAGGCTTTGTTACCTTGCCTGCGATGAACAGCTCCAGGATACAAATGTATATGCGTTGTAAATAACCCCACTATCTATAGAAAAACCACAGTGCCACAGAACAAAATGCTTTATGGATCAGGGCGTCCATGGACCAGGCTGCCTGCTCCAAGTGAAAGTTTTTTCTTTTTTCTTGCAAGAATGTCAGTGAAATGGCTGCAAAACAAGCTAAAATGAAAAGAAAGCTATTACAAAGAGGCAATAACTGATGGGCAAAGATCCTCAAAACGACAAAGCAATGGCAAATGACCACAAAGATCACAAAGAGAATTTAGAAAGACCACTGAGCACCACAATCAGACAGAAAGTGAGCACAAAGAGAATCAAATTGCCTTTAAATACCTTTTTACTTTCAGTTTGGAACCAGTTCTGTCTGTGCCTTTTGAGAAGGAGGTTAGAGAATATGTAGTGAAATTGGTGGGGTGGGGGCATCACAGCCGAGAGTTCTGTGTGGGTGCGCCCTTCCCATAGCTACAATATAAATGATTGCAGCTACTTTTTTGGGGACGAGCTCCTATCTTTCAGTGTAAATGTGCAGGATTGGTTCTTGATTAGGTGCTACTAGTGTAAGTGAAGTTTGGGTATTGTGTCGATCTAATACCGATACCAGCGTTAACATCGATACTATCGATATTTGGATCGATCCACCAAACTCTAATTTCTACTACAAGAGTCAAAAGTACCTAAAAAAGAGATCACCCCCCCCCAAAAAAAAACAAAACAACAAAAAAACAAAAGAGAAAAACATTAACAATAACAATCGGCTCATCTGTGGTTGGAAGTGTAAAGTTTCAGAATCCTTCTATGAGTGTAAAATCCTTGTTGGGAAGGTTAATGATCATCTGCAGACTCGTGAATGGAATTAACTCTCTTGCTTTTAGGTAGTTTGGAGTGTTGTTTGTTTGCAAGCCATATTCAGCCTGCAACTCCGTAAACACGATTAGCATTTGGGGTTAAGATAGCTGTACGCTCATGCTTATAAGGAGGCTGATTGTCTTGTAGTGACACATTTTGGGCTTTTAAGTAACTTAAGTTATACCAGAGGTGCGGAGGGGATAAATGGTATTCCAGCAATGCGCTCCACTATGTGAACATTTGGCATATTTTGAAAAACCTCAAGTCATTTGAAATCCATGAAGCAAAAACAGCAGCATGTTCAATAATGCCCTCTGCCAACCTCAGTCTCTTTTCAGTCAAATTACCCATTATTATCATGGAAGTGACTAATGTTCTCCTCGGGGAGTCTCTCCCAAGCAGAAGCCAAGAAAATGCACTAAGCAGTCGGGGTCTTCTTGCAGGAGGAGCTTGGCATTGCTCATTAAATCCTATATTCTGAATCCCAGAAAGGGAAAATTAGGCAGGATGGAGTGAGCAACAGGAAGATTTATATGAGGGGTGGGGTGGGTGTAGGAAGGCAGGAAGAGATTATGTTTAAAAATTCATTCAATTCAAGTG